TGGTGGTGCTGTTGTTGTTGTTGTTGTTGGTGGTGGTGGTGCTGTTGTTGTTGCTGTTGTTGATGGTGGTGGTGGTGGTGGTGCTGTTGTTGTTGTTGCTGTTGATGGTGGTGGTGCTGTTGTTGTTGTTGCTGTTGTTGGTGGTGCTGTTGTTGTTGCTGTTGATGGTGGTGGTGGTGTTGTTGTTGTTGTTGTTGCTGTTGATGGTGGTGTGCTGTTGTTGGTGGTGGTGCTGTTGTTGTTGTTGTTGTTGTTGGTGGTGGTGGTGCTGTTGCTGTTGTTGTTGTTGTTGCTGTTGCTGGTGGTGGTGGTGCTGTAGTTGCTGTTGGTGGTGGGTGCTGTTGTTGTTGGTGGTGGTGCTGTTGGTGGTTGTGCTGTTGTTGTTGTTGCTGTTGGTGGTGGTGGTGCTGTTGGTGGTTGTGTTGTTGCTGTTGGTGGTGGTGGTGCTGTTGTTGCTGTTGGTTGTGGTGCTGTTGTTGTTGTTGTTGGTGGTGGTGGTGGTGCTGTTGGTGCTGGTGCTGTTGTTGTTGGCGCTGTTGTTGCTGTTGGTTCTGTTGGTGGTGGTGGTGGTGGTGGTGTTTAAGTGCGGCTTGGGCCAGAAATAGTTTCCATTGCGCCAAACACATCTATTGATGTTGAACTATCATACATATTACTGGATATACTCCACAAAAACACTAAAATATTAACATTTTATTATTTGTATAATTTCAAATATGTTGATGAAATGACAGGATTCCATGCTTATTGGATTAATACATCAAGCCACCAATTTTTGTTTTGGAAAAAAAAAGAAAAAACATACAAAAACATGATGATCGTTCAATAAAAAAGCAGAAAACCAAACAGAAAGAGAAATGTTAAAACGATTTAAAATCAATACATATATTTAGTTGAATGTTTCTACTTGACGCCATAATTATGCTCACATTGTCTCATATTTGCCTGAAGCAGTCACGTCCTCTAGTATAGCCCTTTGAACTGAACCGTGTAGGATGTTAGGGCCCAATCTTACAGCAAAGGAAAATGTATCGCCTTTCCCAAGCACTGTACTTTAAGGGGGGCTGTTGGGACGTGAGAGAAACAAGAGTTATCTCCCTTATACCGTCGTGTTTATATTGTCTGGGAAACTGGGAAACCAAATTGCAGCTATGAATGTGAATAAGAATAAATTTTCTAATCTGATGTTCGTGGGGTTTTCACTTCGTTATCCACGAATTATTTACGTAAGCTCATTTAGATATCTAAAGTGATGACGCTGTCCAGATATATTATTCTGTTTTATTCTCTTGTGCCTCCAGAGCCAAACCAAAGAAGCGAAAAGGTTTGTGGTCACAAATCACAGGATCGGTATGTGGACCCCATAATCCAGAAACCCCTCCTACAGGGCAATTACTGTTAACAGCAACTTCGCATATAGACTGACTTCTCCGTCTCATGTATTGACGTACAGTAATTATATTTTACCACAAGAGTATGATAAGTATTATAAATAATTAGATTTTCATGTCATTAACTAACATCTGAAACACATAATTAAAGTAACACTGCAAGAAAAAGCACAATTTGTGTCGTGTCAGCACCAGGATGTAGATACAGTGAGGGACTGTGTGAGCTGGTGTAGTCCAGAATTAGTGGAAATAAACCTCAAAGACTCCAAGCAAACCCAAACTATTTCCCCAACTAAAGTGCAATGCCAAGGTACGTATTATCTACATTGCTACGTTTATAAAGGAAATGCGTGTTTAATTGTATCATCATGAAGATGATTGTATTCCCCTAACCCATATATAAGTGAAAGAAATACAAATGACATACTAAATATCCATGGAAGTTACATTGCGAAATATATATAAATTAGATATTGAAGTATATATTCAAATGTATACATTTCGCTTTGAGTGTAAGTAGTTATTTTCGTAATGTTACCATTGTTTTACGATGGCGACGATGAAGTAACTAACAAGATGCTGGACTCACATTTACCTCATCATCAATTGAATTAAACACAGATTGAAATAAATACTTCACTATTTAAATTGTGCGGAAACTCAATCCTCTTTATGTAAATAGTTTATTTCTCGATGTTAACATTGTGTTACGACGACGAGAAGCAGGAACAAACAGTGCTAGACGAACAATTAATTCATCATCATTTGAGTTTAACATAGATTTAAATAAATACTTCACTACTTAATTGTGGGAAAACTACATACTCCCTGTCCTATCAACCAATGTTTTATTTCGTAGCAAGGTCTTCGGCCCAGGTACAAAGTTAACAAAAGAAATACATTTATGAGTTGCTAACAGTGAAACAAATGAATTGCGTAACTCAAGGCATCTTTTACATAACTTGAGATAGATAAGTTGGATTATCATTTGGAAGATTATAGATCATGACATCTTCATTAATGTACATATGTATAATTTCAAAGTATATAACACGTAATTCTTTATATACTGGACAGGTATAAAGCAAATGAAATTCATCCTCAGAATTTGATTAACATATTTTACAATAGCGATATTGACGGTGGAATACCAACACGTCTACAAATATTTTCATAAATGGGCAGCTCACCAGTTCTTAGTAAAGTAATCCTACGTCTTGCGTCTTTAGATTTTACATTTACAAGATAATTTTCTAAACAGAACACAGTTTTAATTTTAAAACATAAATGTAATGTTGAACATTCATACATTTCAGCCGTTATTGATTGAATGTGGCAAGTTTGTATCCTTGTTTCAAAATTGATTAGAAAAGCCTCCTTGAATCCAACACCTTGATTCTCCCAAACAAACCGAACCCATAAGTAAAGAAAATAGTTCTAACATGATACACCAACGTTTTACGTCCAGCTGTATCTAAATTATGCAACATAGATAGCTCTGTCCTAAATTACGAACAAGAGGTCCTGTCCAAATCTACTTGCCGATATACTTGTGTTCTATGCTAATAATCAGTGTCATTCGTTAATCCGGACAGTGTCAATAGAAAGCGTTCGGATTAAGGAGGTTACATTACACCACAAATGTGCATACATACATATTTATCACAAACCATCCAAACATGTGTTCTCCATGGACCCTGAAGATTTAGATTGCAAATATCAGTTTTAGAGTTATTCGTCATAAAGAAATGTTTTTGTATGAAATTTGAGAAACTGAATTTTTCATGTATCATACATTCCTCTGGTTGTACTATCTCTGCCTGGTACGTCTCTCTGTCTCGTACATCAAAGCTGATATTAACTCTCCTAAATACAACTACACAGAATTTGGCCACAAGTGTTCTTATGTCCACGGGCTATTTGGTTTTGTTTGCATTTGAATGTACAACTTTTTTTAAAATCCCTCAACTTCCTTTTATCATAGAAAAAGGAATCGTATCGTTTGAAACAGTAAAAACATGTTTTTAAAAGCGTTTCACATTGAATGACATCATGCAGACATTTTGATCTCTAGCTATTCGTATGCTGAGGCTATCACTTGATCTACGAGGTTCACACTGCAAGATGGTTGAATGCATTACGCTGGGCTTACGGGTGGTTGAGTACTGGTTGTTATTGTGACATACATTCACACTGAGGAATATTGTGTAGGTTTTCGAAAACAATGTATTTATTTTGCGAAGTCATTCCCCATGAATCACGATTTCGTATAAAAATTGATTTGGATGACCAGCGAAAATCGAGTATCGTGTTCTATGTAGAGACAGATACTAACACGATGGACTATTATGAAATTTAATTGAATTTTTTTTTATCCCTACTTCAGAAATATATTGAAATAATAAATAATAAGTTTGTAAATTGTGAATAATATTTATTTTACCTACGCTATCGGGGAAAAGAAGGCATACACTACGAAATTGAATGTAATATTGCGAGGCCAACGTTCCTGGGGAAGTCATACGCACGTCAATAGTTGAGAGATACTGATTAATTGTTGCATGCAATATCACTTGCAATACAGAACAATCGATGAACTATTTCTGTCATTTTAGCCACATAACATATGGGTAGATACTTTCTGTAAACAACAGTTTATATACTGCCACTTAGGCGCAGGTGTTTCGTTTCTTTGGAGTTCGAGGAGCACTTCAAAACAACGAGAGCGTCTTGATAGAAGGCTACAGACACTTACCCTTGAGGCTTAATCTCAAGATTTCTGGAGCGCTTATGATGGATTTGAGATGGGATTCGAAGAAATCCCCTCTGTACCAACTAAATCTAGACTATGAATACAGACTGACTTTCAGAAAGTGGTCAAATGTAACAAGTGTAATATTTGGGGTTTCACTTTCTCAGTAAGTCACACCCGGATTCGAACCTGCACTCTCACAATAGGGAAACAAATCGCAGCACATAAAGTCAGAGACTTTACCATAAAAGTAAAAGCCAGACATTTGATGTGCTCCTCTGACAAGTGTAACGTGGCACTACTCACATGACAATGAGTGACTGAGTTTAGTTTTACGCCGCAGTTAGCAATATTCTAGAAATATCACGGCGGGGGACACGAGAAATGGGCTTCACGCATTGTGCCTATGTGGAAAATCGAACCCGGGTCTTCGATTCGGCGTGACGAGTGAACGCTTTAACCACAAGTCTACCTCCCGCACCCTCATGACAATGAATACCTGTACATAATGCCGTTTAGAAATGTCATATTTGAGATTACACGTTCTTAACAAAGTATAGATTTTAGTGCTTTTTGGAAGCATATATAAAATAGTGTTACTCTTGTTAAAACTTTACTAAACCCCAGAAAGCGTGGTATGGCATTCCTGTTCAATGGGCGGTGGGGTAGCCTAGTGGCTAAAGCGTTCGCTCGTCACGCCGAAGACCCGGGTTCGATTCCTTACATGGGTACAATGTGTGAAGCCCATGTCTGGTGTCCCCCGCCGTGACATTGCTGGAATATTGTTTAAGGCGGCGTAAAACCACACTCACTCACTCCTGTTCAAACGGTTCGTGAAAGAAAAGGACAAATAAATGATATGTTCATTTTTATTTTTATTTCGTGGATTTTGTTATTTTGTATAAAATAGAAATAAAAAACATATGAAAATTGAGACGTATGTACACAATGACCGTTCACGAGTAGCCTCCATGGAACGGACGCACGATAGAATGTTCAAAGCACCATTTTGGATAAGTGTGATTCTCACTTGAACTTATTTACACATACACTTTGTGCGACTACGTTGAATATAAGTTAAGCCTCTTGGAGACATTTTGATTGACAGATGTGAAATATAATGACGTGTATGATATATTACAGAATGAATTTCAGTAAGTCTTGTCTACTCGGGATTTACACGTCTTGGCTTCTCAACTACAGAATGGGAAAACCAAACATAAAACCGTTTCTCATTCCAAGACGTTTCAGAGATCTAAATGCTATGGTATTTGGTCAATTTTGAACGTACAAAATTGCCTTGCTGCCTTCCAGATGTGGCTCAGGTATAATCTGCTGCCTTGGTGACGTATTGTTACGTACAGCATACGTCATTTGGTTGTATGGTCACATTGGGCAACCTGACCTGTATCACAGCCAATGAGCGCTCCAATTTCTGATCGCATCACCCTCTCGACAACAAAAATGTCCTGACTTCACGGTGACCAATCCAAAAGCGCCTCTCCTAGGGAGGAGATCATGTGATCACAAACAGCGAATCAACGCTGTTGTTACAAGTAGGGTGCGCAGAACTGATAAACAAGCCGTTTTGAGTGCTCTGTTTTTCTGATGATGCCCTTCTTGTAGTACTGACGGATTGACCGACTCAGTTTGTCGTAGTTCATCAGAGGCCTGTTTTTCCTGCGACCCCATTCCTTTGCCACCCTGCTCGAGTCCTCAATTTTGAATATTCCTTTCGATCTGTCCACCCATTTAATACAACTGCTGAACGACTGGGGTTTCAATAACAAGTCTTTCAAAAACTGCCACAAGTGAATTGTTTGTTTATGCGGAGTTGGTGGGGGTGTTAATTTCTCGCGTGGTTGTTCTTTCTCCTGCGTTGGAGCTCCTGTAGAAAGAAAAAACATATCATAAGAATAATGTCACACGGTTTAAATCGATTATCAAAGTGAGCGTTGCGTTGAACTAGCCCTGTATTTATGATAAGCAAAAAAGAAGACGCTAGCTTGGCACATTGAACCCTTTGGGAATCGAACCCTGCGTGACGAGCCAATGCGTTTTCGTATGTGCTAATCTACACGTTGTGACTTACGTTGGGGCTTACCTTGCAGAACATATTGCTCGTCCTTTTCAGTAAGACGGCTCGACAAAACTGATTCTGTTTGTTTTAGTATTTCAAATCTACCGCCATTTTTATAAAGCCATGCGCAAAATATTTAGGTCACTTGCCACCATACTGTATTTGCAGACATACACCACCTTTGTTGTCTTGATGGTGAAAACTTATATGGATCTAACTCACGTGCAATTGTAAGTCTTTCGGCGTAGCTATGGATACATAGATAGACCTTTGCTCCAGTGCAGACAGCCCTGGATCTTACACAATGCTGTCAACAAGTCATAGCCTGCATTGTAAAGCTGTGACATTTACACCCGAGAGGACGACGTATACTTACGATATGTGAACAAGTCATCAAGCATTTGGCTGCGGGGAGACGAACAGGGGTTGCTGTCAAGGCTTGACGATCCCGGGGACCCAGGGGACGAGCTGCTAGGAGAGGCACAGAAGCGGTTTCCCTCCAGGGTCATAGGTGAGTCGGCCATGCTGTCTGAGTGGTAACGACCGGTCTCGTTCATCTCCTCCATTTTAAAGTCTGCAAAATAAAAAGTGGGGTTAGAGCGGTTGGGACAGTTTGAGGCGCGGATATCACGCACATTTTATTGTCACCGAATCCAGGTGAGATTGTGTATTTTTGTTAATAATGGGTTAATGTGACATTGCTTTTTTCGTTACGTTAAGTGTTACGTGGCATCATTAACGGTTAATGGCAGGAACTTCTGCTATTGATTTGCCCTGTGTCTATGCAATCTCGCAATTAAGCACTCACGATAGATTACAATCTGTCTGCTCCACCGTACGCTTGATTAGTCAACGGGATCGCGGTATTCACTCCCGTATATTTATTCTTTTCTACAAAGGTATTGCAGGGCTTTGTTGAACGAGTCGTTTATTACTCACGGTTTATGTTATTTTAATGTTGAAAAATTATTTCATGGGGGCATTCTTGCGCGAGAGCTAGATTATGATTGGCTGAGAACTAGCCAAACAAAGTGAGGGATATTTTGTAGGTTATGACCTTTCTGGATAAAAGGTCAAGGTTAGACAATACGTCATCTGTCTTGTTGTTATGCGTAAAGGTTTTCGTATGTAAACAAACCCTCACTTTTGAGGGCAATGGGAGCGGCGCTCACTTAGTTCACCTGAACTGGCATGTCGTAAACAATCGACTTAAGCGTCACGTTTCAGATAAGCATGGTATTTCTCAGCAGCAAATGCAGCCCAAAACAAGATAGCATCAGGTCGCATATATTAACACGCAGTATTGTTATTTCTTCGAATGGGCCGGGTCATGTTGACACGATTGTGAAATGAACACGCCAGCGGACAGAAATCTACACATGTATAATGCCGTCAGTCACCTGTGATTTCACTCATGCATATCCACCCAAAGTCCCCTACTGACATGTCTCTGTGATCATATAGCACGCTGTTGGCCTTGCATGGTGTTTATGAACGATTAATGGTACTAAAAATCCAAGTAAATACATACTTTAACATTCAAAACACGGAAACACGATGTGTATATCACTATTCCTTTCAACTTTAGGTTTAATGTAACCCAAATAAAAAATATATAGCTGTGTCTTTCACTGACGCGGAGAAACAGTCACGACATGTAACCATTATGTGAGGACATTAGTATCTCATTCAAGATTCTTTCATGACGATATTTGAATGGTTTGAGAAAACGAGTTAAAATGTGAAACATATTTCAACGAGACACCTTATTCAAGCGCACTACGATATTTGTCTTCTCTCATATGACAAGAATCCATCTATTTGCAATTATTTGAAAATATAAACTTATGCTTACAATTCTTCCATATTTCCAACGAGGCGAAGAGACTTGATCCTCCAGCTGGCGATCGCCATGAGAAGTCGGTTTCCGAGAGGAGGCAGAGACACTTTCCATTCATGTCAAAGAGTTCGAGATTCACATCTTGGATGAACATCTTCCTCGACATGTGCGTGATCCATTTCCCAACATCCTGGGTAGACCAGCGAGTAGGATCTGTTGGAAAACATGAAAATATCAAAAACATGATAGGTTTAACATTATCTCAGAATCAAAATCGCAGTCTTCCAAATAAAACTTATGCTGAGGCTTTCGGAATATTAACATAAACCCAGACATCTTAAACACACGCGCGAACGTACGCACACGCACGCGTATGCGTACACACATACGTACCGCGTTTTTTAAGACCACATATCACTCGGTGATACGCTAATTGTAAACCGCAAGTCTCGTAACCCCGCTTATAAAACACCTATCCTGTTAAACCACCTGGGATCTAAAAACATACCTTTACTTATTTGTAGAGCGATGCACTCTTCTTTGATATCTTTCGTTGCCAGAACGAACAGCGCATCGAGCCCGTCATCCATAGCGATGTCTGGGTTGGGTGTAGGGAAATACCCTGACTGTGCCTGCTTGTCATCACTGACGTTTTGGTCATACATGGTGGTGTCACTCCTGTCATACATGTCTAGGTCAATGAGATGGGTGGGGCTCGCCCCTTCGGTCAGCTGCTGGTCGGGTACCTCGGTTACAGAAGTGCAGCCAGCGATGGGCGCCGGGAATGGAGACGAGGAGAATGTGTCTAAGATGTTCCCGGTGAAGTCATACTGGTAAACCTCTGGTTCTATCTTCACGGACACCTGAGAAAAGTCATCGGTGAACACTGTGTTGGTTTGGGGAACCTAAAAAGGAGTATAAACTTTTAAAACCTTGAATACATGACACGTTTTATGGATAAAAACTTTTCTGAAAACCTTATTTTAATATTTGCTTAATTATGTGCACATGACAACTTAAGAAACGTTTTCTTTTTAAAAAAAACAAACTTACTTGTTGGTCAGGGTAAAGCATATCCTCTGAGTTGATGGGTGTTTGACACAAATCGTGATAGAGCTTGATGACGTGAAAATCTGGAATAAAATTATGAAAACTTCAATTTCCTTTCAGGATTGTAAACGACACAAACATTGAAGTATACATTTAAATATAACATGCTTAACGACGTTGAAATAAACTAAAACAGACTTACTATGAAAACATTAACCATATTTCATTCCTTGCAACAGTAATAAAAGTGCAAGTACATTTAAATATATAACATGTTTAACAAAGCTGACGTAAAACTTCAACAGGCTTATTCAAGAAGATATTGACTTTCATTCCATGCGAAACTAACAATAAAGTACATATCTAAATGTTAGATTAAGAAAACTGGTATGTAAGAGTGCGCACTTGCGGAACAGATAAACGTTTTGGACAACGATAGAATAAAATAAAAGTAAATTGCAAAATAACAAGCAGTCTACTGAAGAAGTGTCACACTTCACTGATAAAGATAGACAAGGTTTGAAAACCCACCGGTCGGCATCGGTGCTGTTTGTATATCCAACGGTAGAGTAAGAATGAATTAAACACACGAGAACCTATAGCTATATAACGAGTTTCGCTCGTTGTCTTCTCGGAATTGTTTGTACTCATATCGAGAAGGAAAATGAGGTCAGCCAATCGCATGGCTAGAAATTGACCCCAAGCGACATATATGGATAGCTATAAATAAACGGAGGGGAAGCACCTACGAGTGGATTTTGATTGGTTGGCTGTTGCATACGTCATAAACCTGACTCACTGGTAAATAAGAAAACAGATCTTGCCTCGGCGAGCTGGTGAACGAGTGCATTATTAGAGAAGCGTAGTAAAAGACCCACTAGACAACATACGCCCAGATTTCAGCGTTCAGACACGCGAAGATATGTAACAACATTCAGTATCGTTAAGACCAATTCGATAAAGCCGTTATTTGTCATCGCGAAAAGTGTGTATATCAAATGCAATTGCTAGTGTATGTATATTTGATAGAATCAATAAATCTGATGACGGAGCGTGTCAGTGATGTATATCTAGATACTCGTCCGCCAATGAGATGGTCCCAATTTATATAATTACTTTTCGCCTAACAACCAGATGTTGAAACACCAACACGTGTTTCAGTGGCCTGGCAGGCAATTTGTCACTATCATGAACATCTCGTTCACATTGGTCATATAACTCTGTAGAATTCTCAGCTGTTGTTCCTATGGCGCATGAATACATATTCATGTAGCGATGTCCCTCGATGGAGCACCTGTCTAAAGATGAACACTATGCCTAATTATAATTTATACCATTATCCATTGTTTCACGTTAGGCCTCGGGGAGACGAGTGGTTTTTTTTCCCGCGATGGAGCATCTGTCTGAAGATGAACACTATGCCTAATTATAATTTATACCATTATAAGTTATACCATTATCCATTGTTTCACGTTAGGAGACGAGTTTTTTTTTTTTTTTCTTTGGGTAGGTCCTGGGAGGGTGGAGGTTTGGGGTTGGTGCTTTGAAGGTAACCTCATGAATACATGCCACGTTTTATGGATAACAACTTCCCTTTTTATTCTTTATCACGACGTTTCAGAGCTAATTATTGTCCCTTCATCAGGTGAATGATGAAGGAGCAAGACTTTGCTCTGAAACGCCGTGATAAAGAAGAGTTAGTGAGTGTGTATGGTTTTATATTCCAGCAATATCACAGCGGGGGGCACAAGAAATGGGCATCACACATTATAGCCATGTGGGGAATCGAACCCGGGTCCTCTGCGTGACGAGCGAACGCTTTAACCACTAGGCTACCCCACCGCACTGTTAAAGAAGAAAATAAGAGATAAAAGAAGTTGCTATCCATAAAACGTGTTATGCACTCATGTTCGTGCAACTTTCAAGAACTTCAGGTAAACCCATGAACAATTATGTTATTTCTTCTTAAAATGAAACAAACAAACAAAACAAACAAAAAAACGAACAAAAAAAATACAATTACAAAACCCAGACAGGATAAAAGATTGAAAAGGCGAAACATAGTTTTTTCTTATCGTTGACACACATACTCCATCAATATTTGGATCCGAACTTTTCCTTACTGATGCGCCATCACTGATAACCATGTATTATATTACAAGGAATATCCTCTCTGTATAAGCCGCAGGATAAAACATTGTTTTTCCCTATCATTTAAGATTATGTTTTGCCTCAGTTTACAATTGTACAAGTGTTCTAATTTTGATCGGAAAACACCTGATTATGTACGCACGGAATCATTGCTTAAAGCCACATTCCCCCCAGTCGTTAATACACAGGGCTCGTTTTGACCTTTTCAGTTTCCACTATTTTTAATGAATCAGTCGATGGTATGTTCATTTAAAGTGGGGGCGGTGGGGTAGCCTAGTGGTTAAAGCGTTCGCTCATCACGCCGAAGACCCGGGTTCGATTCCCCACATGGGTACAATGTGTGTAGCCCATTTCTGGTGTCCCCCGCCGTGATATTGCTGGAATATTGCTAAAAGCGGCGTAAAACAACTCACTCACTCATTTAGAGTGTTTCTTGTTCGAACTTCTGTTGCTACTGTTTTTCGATTGTTTATGTGTCCACATCTGTAACCCACTTAACACCATCTGTAACATCTGTAACCAAGTGATTATAGACCATGCAAGGTCTTGTTATTTTGTCGTTGTATCTCCGATGTTTGTAAAGGGTCGTATAGTATTTGAAATGAAAATAAATATGAGATATGTAAGTAAACCAACTGTTAGGGGCGACGGGTAGCCTAGTGGTTAAAGCGTTCGCTCATCACGCCGAAGACCCGGGTTCGATTCCCCACATGGGTACAATGTGTGTAGCCCATTTCTGGTGTCCCCCGCCGTGATATTGCTGGAATATTGCTAAAAGCGGCGTAAAACAACTCACTCACTCATTTAGAGTGTTTCTTGTTCGAACTTCTGTTGCTTCTGTTTTTCGATTGTTTATGTGTCCACATCTGTAACCCACTTAACACCATCTGTAACATCTGTAACCAAGTGATTATAGACCATGCAAGGTCTTGTTATTTTGTCGTTGTATCTCCGATGTTTGTAAAGGGTCGTATAGTATTTGAAATGAAAATAAATATGAGATATGTAAGTAAACCAACTGTTAGGGGCGACGGGTAGCCTAGTGGTTAAAGCGTTCGCTCATCACGCCGAAGACCCGGGTTCGATTCCCCACATGGGTAAAATGTGTGAAGCCCATTTCTGGTGTCCCCCGCCGTGATATTGCTGGAATATTGCTAAAAGCGGCGTAAAACTAAACTCACTCACTCACTCACTGTATTATAAGTATCCACAGCTAAAACAGTATTGGTTAAAGTTCACGTTCTTTGTTTTGTACACGAGGACTCCCATCCAAAGGGTTTGTATATTCTACTGATACACACGTTTAAATATGGAAATACACACTGATAATAATAACAAATATTAATTATATATCGTGTGGCAAGAACGTAGGCGACAGAAAATGAAAACAAACAACACATCTTTTCCTCAGGCTTTACCAAATGAAAATTGTTCACTGACGACAACAATGTCATATGAAATATGTCACTCACAATATGGTGATCGAGATAGTGAGTGAACGCGGGTGGAAGTTACTCTGGATGAAAGACTTATGTACAGGGTTGTGTATTAAGTTTGGTTGGACAACATCAAGCAATGTTAATATCATATTATACATACAATCCTTATACAAACTGCTTATGTCTACTACAGGGTTAGACCTGATTAGTGTATTGTACTACATGTGTTGCTACCGCTGATACAGCAGCCTCATTGGCCGTGGTAAAATATGACCATGACCTGTAACGATACTCCTACAACTACAACTACTACTACTACTACTACAGCAGCATCAAGAACTACCACGACTACTACAACATAGGCTGCTACTCGCACAGCTAACTACAGCTACTTCTACTTCTACTGCTATTACCTTTCCCAGCACTACTACTAACCCCAGGCTCGTGGGGTCTTTTCACACTGACAAAATTACCATTTGATGTACACGTGAATGATGCGTGTTTGAAAGTACACAAACAGGATTCTGGAGGGCGTTTTTCGTTGGTTAAGTTTAAATCGTTAACACTATGTCACCCATTTTAAACCATACAATATATTAAGTGTGAAGTTTTCCAGACAGCTGAGAGCGCATCCCCGCGTGTTTGTGTAAGCTGTTTTTTGAAAAACATTTTAACAAAAATGATGTCATTAAACATTAAAGCAATGTTTTATCAATTTGGCGTTCCTTAGATACAAAATATTTAAAAGTGATTTAAAAATTCAAGGTGATTGTATACTAAACTCCATGTGATATTAATGTGTTCATGGCGTATTATCAGATTTATAATTATTGCATTGAAAACTTCGTACAGTGATAATATTTTAATTGAAAGTGAATAAGATCCCCCAAAGTTTCGTTGGTAAACCTTACATCTTTAAATATCTGTCTGTTAAAATTAACTTCAACCCGGATTTAAATCCACAGATGTTTCCTTTTAAGCGGACGAAAAAACAAGCCCTGTTTGTCTCCAGACTTAAAACCACTTCCTAATCTATTTTACAAAGACACTAATTACTCATCAACACCGTCAAGATAAAATATGTTGCATGCGATTTTTAAATACTCATTAACAGTACTGTAAACGATGTGTATGGCGTAGTGAATATGAGCCATAGCAGCCTTTATTATGTACATGTGTATATAAATCTGATGACAGTATCGGAGAAGGAAATTCAGACATACACTCTTAAGGTTTCTTTAATCATAATAACAAATGCATTTTTCCGTTGAAATAATCAGATTGTGTCTAACTAAACTGTCCGTGCTTACCCTTTTCGTTCCGTATTTAAGGGGTATAATAGATTCTGTGCATTTGTATATGGTGATAAAATATGTTTCTCTTCATGCAAAACCAATTCAATGAGAAATTGCCCAGGGAATGTAACTCCAGCAGATATCATTTATCAATATCAAACGTTCAATAATGACCAAACAACCACTTCCATTTATATACCCACTAAACCCGGAACGAGGAATGACAGATACACGATAAGATGCCTCATCTGTTTCACATTTAGATCTATGGATAAGGATTCTGTTCTGAGTGACAAACCCAAAGTCATACCCACAAAACTGTATGACATGAGTGATGTCATCTACTTTGCAATAGTGAGTGAGTTTAGTTTTAAGCTGCATTCAGCAATATTCCAGCTTTATGGCGGCGGTCTGTAATTAATCGAGTCCTGACCAGACAGGCCAGTGATCAACAGCATGAGCATCAATCTATGCAATTGGGATACGATGACATGTGTCTGCTAAGTCAGCGAACCTGACCACTCGACCCCGTTAGTCGCCTCTTACGACAAGCATGTGTTACTGAAGATCAATTCTAACCCGGATCTTCACGGATATCTTTGCAATAGTAAACATTTTCGTCGTATTAAGCAAGAGCACCAGCCTCTGATATCGACATTTCAGGCGAGATGACACGTACCCAAGCTGCACAGGCAGTGCGCTGTATGTACTAAGTAATTGCATACTTTGGTCGCCCCTGTCATTTTCATCCTTGAAGAAATCATAGACCTTGTAAATGATAGACT